CGTTCACAAAAGAAAAAATGGTCAATACTATTTGATTTAAGCAAGGATACAGTAACTAATCTTGACTTCAACTTTTTTCTACTTAAAATAAAAGTTGCTCCGTGAATTTATAAGAAAACAATAAATTTATCGTCCAGTTTAGAGGTTGTAAGTATCATTAATAACAGATAATTAGCGATTATAGAGTTGTTATTGTAAATACATTGACGAAAATTAAGACAAGCTTTTAAAATGTAAGAGATTTTATTTGACATTCAAAGCACTAATCGTGTAATAAAATTATATAGATATCAATTGAATATTTTGGCTTATTTTTATCGAGCTTACCGAAGTATTTTGTCTACAGCGCCATCAAATTTGTAGTGGACAAGATGCGCAGCGAAAGTGTAGTGTAAATAGTAAGAAAAAAAAATGATAATAAAATGTAGATGCTTAGAGGCGTAATAAATATCTATATATATATATATATATATATATATATATAATTGTATAAAAAAAATAAAAAATCATCTCAGCCGATTTTACGTAACAATTACATCTACGTCAAGTAATAAATTTCAAGTGGATAGATTTTTCATTTTTATATTTTCCGTCATAGCGTTAAAAAGTAAAATAAAATAAATTATTACTTGTCTTGTGGCTGCAGTATTTATCAAGATTTATAATATACGAGAGATATACAACAAATGAATTATTTTTAGTTGAGATATCGTCGAGTGCATTTAAATAAAATAAAATCACGATAAAAATATTGGGAGCAACGATTTATTAAACAATGCCTTTTGAATTTATAAATACTTCCAAAATATGTAGAACACGTGTGCCTGATGTCGTTTATGTATGCATAAAATTTACTTTTTTGTTTGGCACAAACATTTATTATGCACAAGTTTAATATTCGAACGATACTTTCTTACTCAAATTAGTTATTTAATATAATTATACAATAAAAATATGTATAAATCATGTGAAATTTATTTAAAAATTCCAACCCTACTATCAGAAATATTTGATTAAAATTTCTTGCTGCAAAAGAATTGTACACAACTGAAACGGCCGCCCTTTTCCCGCTTTATTTTTAGTATTTGCGCAGAATCTTAGAACAATTAATGTCCTCTCTCTCTCTCTCTCTCTCTCTCTCTCTCTCGCCCCGCTTGCTAACAAATTCCATGGCCAACTCTTTTTATTATATTTATATTTAATCGACTTATTTCTTTTAATAATTACAATCGTAATAAAGTATGTTAGCATTATTTATCATGCAAATGGCTCCATAAACTATTTATAATTTGAGAGCTTTATAAGAAAAATACATAGAAATTAATGGAAATTAAAAAGCAATGATTGTAATAAATGAATAATTGAAAGATTTATCGTTCGTGCGTGTGCGCGCGTATGCGCGCGTGTGTAAAGTTAGAGTTTTAACAGAAGAAATTTGTAATATTACTGGTCAGCACGGATGAGAGGGAGAGGGTAAAAATTAAATACTTTATCGAGCATAAACAGCTGATCGCGTTGACTAATCCAAAATGGCCACATGCATGAGCATACAGTGAAGTTACTTTTTTTCCGGCAAAATTCGCCAAATCCTGAGGCACCGAATAATCTGTATTGCCTATCGGCGAACTTGGTAAATTTTGATAATTATTTTGAAATGCTTAGAGTAGAGACGGATTTGAATAATCGATAGGGACGTTAGAAAAATCTATGAGAAAGCTCGATGCCATCAGTGACATCTCGTGAAACCAGCATAGCAGACGCTATGTATTATTCTAAATCAACGTAATGACTTTTTGGTAATTTGTGGTAAGGAATCACGAGACGCATCGCGAAACATTTGCTATTTCAAGTAAAAATACGTTGGCTCATTCGGCATCCATAAAACGAATGGAAAATTATTCAGTTTTAGAGTATATTGATTTAATTCGTGGCCATTTTATCTTTAAAGTAACGATTTACAAGATTTTAAAGCGATTGTACTATTAATAAGAAGTATGTAAAAAAATAACTTTTATATTTAATATTTTGCTATTAATATGTTATCTTATTGTATATTTAGTTATTGAATAATTTGTAAATAACTTTTATCATCGTATATATAATTCTACTCTTTTCTATGTTTTATGTTGCTTTTTTCATTTATCTCAACGTGATTAAAATTTTGTTTCAAATGCCATAGGATCAATAATCATGACAGCTGGAACCAGTTTAGTTGTACCTGTAGTGTTATGGGGACGTATAGCTCCGACACATTGCATTTCGTGTATATATCTGTCGAGGGATCAGAAAACATTGGTAACGGGTTGTTATGATGGGCAAATTTGTTTATGGCAAGTTGACCCAGAAACATTAAAGGTACGTACACATTATCTTACAGGTATATATATATATATATATATATATATATATAACATATATACATATGTTTAATATTATTAAACATTATCATTATTATTGTAAAACTTATTTTTAGTAATTATTTGTAAAAAGTAAAAATATTTATTGTTTAAAAGATTTGGAAAATTTATTAAATAAAAAGTAGATAGTATTGTAATGTTTTATACATAAGTTTGCCGCACCTTATAACTTTATATTATTTATTTGCTTATTTGTTAAATCCATTCGTGGCAAATATATATAATTAAATAAATTTATACATTGTTATAAAACTATTTGTTTTGTAGATGACACCACGGTGCTTACTCGTTGGTCACACTGCTCCAATTATGTGCCTTAGTCGAGCTAGTATCATTATGGAGCAGAATTATATTGTAAGCAGTAGTGAAAGTGGAGAAATGTGTACTTGGGATTTGGTTGATGGTAAATGCCGGGAAACAGTCAAGCTCAATAATATTCATACTCAGATGCTACCCTATGTCTCAGCTGGGGGAGAAGATGTGAGATTATTTTGTTCAGGGTATGTTAAAAACTTGAGATTTCCTACACGTTTGACCTAGAAAATTTTATATGTAAAGTTCAAATATTATATTGTAATTATAGATATTATCCAGAGGTATTAGTAATGGATCCGTTTAGTCTTGAAGTACTATTTACATTGAGCTCACGGATGAATCCAGATTGGATCAGTGCTTTACATGTTTTGCGACCGGCCAAACGGAAAGGTCGGTTCTACGTGCACACAAGTTAGTCACACTCATTCACACCTACGCTTTCAACCTTTATTATTTTTACATCGATTCTTTCGGTACCATACGATTTTTATTTTTATTTTTAGTAATATAACATTAAAATTTGATCACATTACGATTAACCGGGATAAGTTTTCAATCGGTGAAATAAATTTTTATAAATAAAGTTATATATTATAAATAAGCTTTAGTCTCTAATTTCGAGACAATTTTGTACAAATGTATAATAATGGGCTGCACTTTATTTGATTCATTAGTCATGAAAATTTGTGGTAAAATATCTAACAAATACATTAGTTAAATCTGACTTTTTGTATATAATAATGGTATTACTAGTCCCTATTAAAATTGTTTATATATTTTTAATAAACATTATAATGTTACAGCATGTAATCAAACTGGATTCAAACTGGTACTTGAGTGCTGGTAGTTGAAATTCCTCTCTGTCTTTCTATTTTTTCTAGAATTTCGAACGGTTTAAATCTTCTGGCTGTTCTAAGACCTACAAAGCATTTTTGGTTTTCTTATTGACAAACATTGATCACTTAATCAACTAAAAAACATTCTGCTAACAATTTTTTTCATTTCGATTTATCATTCGTCAGACTTATCATATATATTGCCATAAATCATTCCTTGCAATCATTAATCATAAATACAATAATGACAAACAATACACTTTGTAAGTATAATGACACGATAAATATACTCTTCCTAATCGAATTGAAAAATTGTAATATTTTGTTTAAGTAAATGGCGAATTACACTTAAAAAATTAATTACAATAGTGAAAATTTTCTTATAAAATTGTTTTATAAATGCTTGATTTCAATATATGTATTATTATTATTATTATTTCTTCTTTTTTTAATGTTCGCTCTATAGATATATTCATTTCTGCTCAAGTAATTAATGTCAATAATTTGACTTATAAATTATTAATTTTTTGATTTTTAGATATCTTTAAACGAATATATATGTTGATAAGTGTAATGAAAATATTAGCAAAGAAATTTACTAAAACTAACGTATTAACATATTTTGATTTGTTTTACTTTCCTTTTTTTTTGCTTCTTCAAATAAAATTAAAGCATTTATAAATGGGAATAACTGCAAATGCGCACAAAGAATTTTTCGAGCAGTTAATTTTTAAAATAACAAAAGCTTCTGGCAAAATCAATATTTTTTCTTTTATTCTTTCTTTTTATAAATATATTTCTATTTACTTTATTCTTTTACCTTTTTTAACTTTTTAATAGTAATGACTTAAAAAAAAAAAAAAAAACTTATTTTTTACATGCATGCTTAAGTATGAGTAGTTATTAAATAGATTTTATGTATTAAAATATTAACGTGCATGATAAAGGAAATACTATGGCATAATAATTTTAACAAATTTGCTTATGCATAGATTATAATTATTTATTATTTAACTTAAATTCACTATGGAATAGTTTATACAACGGCAATAAAAAAAATTCTCTTCCATTCAATTTCTTACAACAACTAACAAACATATTTTAAAGATGACGTGGTATTGGCTTTAACAACGACCGGAACTGTCAAAGTTTGGACACTTCTAGGCCATGAAAATCGAAATAGCGAACCATTGTACGAACATGAAAGTAAACAGATCAGATGTTTAAATGCCTTGGCTATGACATGCTGCCTTTACAACCAACGAACGGTACTTATCGTGTGTTCGAAATACTGGCAGGTAAATTAATTAATTTATCTATTCTAACAGAATTTCATTTTGTTTTCAATGACGCGTTAAGCATTAATTTTAAACGTTTTTAATAATTTTACAATAGATATATGATGCTGGAGATTTTTCTGTTCTGTGCTCTGTAACAGCACCCAGAGGAGAAAGATGGATGGCTGGAGATTTTTTAGCTGCAGACCGAGTAATTCTATGGAGCGACGAAGGACATGGATATTTATATAAGTTACCAGCTAAGTATGTTGACATACATGATAATACAACTAATAATACCGTAAAATCTTTATTAAATTTAATCTTTCCATATCTATAGTAGCTACTTAAATATATAAAGTGTTCAGTTTTTCATATTTAAAATCATCTGTTTTGCATTGACAAATGTATTGAAAATTGATTTTTAAGAATTATTGCACTTGACTTTTCCATTTCATAAATACATAATTGGACATAAATTTAGTGATAACATCATTCAATAAATTTACATCTTTGTATATCTTTATTGGTTGTAGGGCTATAACACAACTTGAAAGGTAGTTCTACACAAGTATTTACTACGTAATTCTTACTAAATTTAAGCAGTTACGCTTTTAACAATTTCAACTTGTAGATAACATTTATTTTATAAATTAACAACAATTGGCTAATGTTTTACAAACAAATTTTGTATAGTAATAAATATTAATATTAATCAATTCTTACAACATAGCACTAAAATAATAATGTCAATGTATCCGTTTTATTTTAGAATTAATTGCCAATTACTAGCAAAGCACTTGCCAGCAATGCACAATTTAATTCGTATTCAGTTATCGCTCCAATTTATTTATTTATTTATTTATTTATTTTTTTTTTTTTTTTTTTTTTTTTTTTTTTTTTTTTTTTTTTTGGGAAACATATTAGTGATAAACTGCATTAAAATTCAGAAAATATTTCTCATATAAATAATTCAATGCCAGAACAATTACATCAATTATAATCTTCAGGATATTTTTGGATATTTATTTTTATAAAAATCATTAAAAGAATAATACTTGATAAATAACTCGTGATAATTATGATCCTTACAAATCTGAATATTAACGTGCACTTGAACATTCTAGAATGATTTTTCATTACTTTATAATTTATGAAGTAATTATTTAAATATATTCGCATACCCTTGGCTAACATTATAAAATATGTCAAAGTTTTAGATTACTAGAATGTATTCACTAGAACATCAAATCACTAGAATATATCAAAGCAAAATATTCAAATACTGTAGAATCGTACAATTTTAACACCTTTTCCACATGCACTTAAACGCCATTAATAAACATTGAATTAGTAAATTTTATTGCCATAATAACAGCCAAAATTATAAGAATTTAAAGCTAAAATTTAGTTAAAATTTAGTTAAAATTTATAAAATGAACATTTTTTATCAAAATTTATTGGTCACCATGGAACTTCACAATACAATAAAATAATATGGAAAATAAACTAATTAAAGCAATAATTAAAGAAAGCATCGTGCATTCTTTAACAAAACTACAAAGTACAAATATTTCATAATTTATCATACCTTCACCTTCATAAGTTAAACACACAGGTACTCCAATTAATCCATTGCTGATCTTTTTTCACGATGATGTTCTTTCCATAAAAATTTAACATCCGCATATTCTACGGTGGACCTGGTTTGTTATAGCAAGCTGAAGGGCAAGGCTTTCAGCAGGTAACCCCGCATTGTCATTAATACCTCATATTATCTTATAAAACCTACTCTTCTCTTCTTGTAACTCTATTCTATAAGCCTTCATGAAATTTATTCGCCACTAGTTTTTTTAATTCTTAAAAAAATAATAATAATAATAAAATAATGAGAGAGAGAGAAAAAAAACCTATAAAATCTAATAATAATAAACTTGTTGTATGACACTAAAATTACCTTTTGCATTATTTTTATATGTTAATTATCGATTTTTTTCAATTATATGCAATCGGGTTGGCATTTTTGCAATCACATTCCGCACATTATTTTCGACTTTGTTTGTGATACTAAAGTCGCGCGTTATCGATGCTATGCAAATAACAAAATGAATAATTGTATTTGAATTCGTAAATTAACTATTTATTTGTATGAAAATCTTGTAATGCCTATAATAACTTGAACAGCATTTAAATCGCATTAATAATATGATGGATACAATTTTTATTAATGAATAAAGTTAATAGGTAGTAATTTGACGTTTTTAATCGAGAATTTATAAATAAAGTATAAAATGCTTCTATCATTCGGGTTTTATCAATAGCTTATCACATTCCTAAATCGTAGTAACTGTATTTGTTGTAGCACTCATGTTTTCACACTCTACAATTAGTACAAACAATTTATCACCTCATAAAATCATTATATATACGTATAATTAATTCTTTTGGCTTTTATTTTATTGCTTTTCTGCATGCATTCTGAATGACATTGAGCTCCTAATTCCCTTTTGTCATTTAGTATAACAATACTGTTTTTAAAGCAACGTATTACTGTAAGAAATGTCTAGATTTTGCAATAAAATATTTTAATGTACATAACAAATTAAATAAATTTGTCCTTTTAATTTGCTAATTACAAGTCGTGTTTGCTAAATTTAATTCGATTTAATTAACAAATACTACTAGATGAGTGTACATACTGTGAATGCTAAGTTTTATACGATTTCCAAGTGTTTTTTTTTTCTTTGCTTTTTTTTTTTTTTTGACAATATTTAACGTATACATTATTAAATTATATATTCTAACGTAATTGTAAAAAGAAAAAAAGGAAAAAAAGAAAAAAGAAAAAAAAACAAATTCTATACTGTGACTCGTACCAAGTTAAACTGCAGAATTTTTAACAATAATTATTGAGCAGCAGCGTAGCGGACAACGAGTATTTCCATTCAGCGTCAGTAGAATGTGATCAACCTTATTTATATTGCATTCTGACTCAACCCGGTGATAAGGTTTAAATAACTTTTTTTTTTTGTAAATAATCATTGCGTCGTACCTGTCTTTTTTTTTTTTAATTTTTAATTCTTTTTAGCCTCTATCGTGTCCACCCGCAATGCGATTGGTTACAGCTCAGCGTGAAAATAAGACTCAAAAGTACCTGTTGCGAGGTGACAGCGAGGGAGTCGTTATGTTGTGGATAGTTCCAGAAATTACGAGTGAACAAATGAGTCAGATGAGCAAAACTGATGAGCCTCTTCTAGTTTTGTTTCCTACTCTTAATACAAGCATAACAGCAGCTTGGGAAGCAATGAAACCTTCGCCAGTCGGGATCTTGGATCAGCTAGACAGCGGAGATGGGCATGAAATTAAGTTGACAGCCAGTATTTATTTGCCTCAGCAAAGTCGATTGGTTATTGGTAGAGAGGATGGAAGCATAATAATTGTTCCAGCAACGCAAACTGTAATGCTACAGCTATTACATGGAAATCATCAACAGTATGATGGTAGGAACTTCCGTGAAGTGTAATGATTTCTTTAAAATTCAAAATAAACGATGAAAGATGACAAAGCATCGAGCTCGTTAAATATGATCCGTTAAAAATATCAATGAGCAAAAACAGAAGTTGTATTTGTTCGAGTGCTTAAGACCAGTCAGTCACTACAGAAATTTATATTCTTATTTAACCTAAAGAAATTTATCACAAAATATAATAGAAAATACAAAATTATGCATGAAAAATTAGGTGTAAGTTTCATATTCACGTGTTATACGAATAATTGTACGAATGAACTTCCGTAATCGTCAAGATAAAACGAAATAATTAATTTTTAAGCGATCAATAAAGTCTGAAATTTTTAAGCATAAAATTTTACCATTTAAGTTGGATTATTGATTATTACGCTCCATTTGATTAACCAATCTGTATATAATAAGTGTGCTTAATACTATTTTGTTCAATTACAGTACTTCGTTAATCATCCCACGTAAGCATAATCATGCTTAATAATTTTATATTCCATTGCTTGATTGATTAGATTGGCCACCTCATCAGATACTTTTAGGACATTCTGGACGAATTAATTGCCTATTGTATCCTCATGGTGCTGCATCTAGATATGACAAAACTCATCTAGTATCCGGATCCGTGGATTTTGCTGTCTGCTTATGGGATTTATATGCTGGTACTTTGATTCATCGATTTTGTGTTCATGCTGGAGAAATAACACAGCTATTGGTTCCACCGGATAACTGTAGTGTGAGTACCGCTGTAAAACATAAAATTCTCTTTAAATCACGTTTCCTAATCATAATTGTACGCTTGTATATATTTTGATATCCGTAGCCGAGAATTCAAAAATGTGTCTGCAGCGTAGCTTCGGATCACAGTGTAACGTTATTATCATTGGCCGAACGAAAATGCGTAGTTTTAGCTTCACGCCATTTATTCCCCGTGGTTACTATCAAGTGGCGACCATTGGATGATTTTATGATCGTTGGGTGCTCCGACGGAGCCGTTTACGTCTGGCAAATGGAAACGGGTCATTTAGATCGCGTCTTACATGGTATAAGAATATAATTTTGATTTATCAGCATAAGTTCTAATATTGTCTTTATCCGTGTAGGCATAATCGCCGAAGAGGTCTTGTATGCTTGTGATGAGAATATAATCGTAGCATCTGGTACTACCGGGAGTGTTGGAGAATTAGGTCTAGCGAATCCTGCCGTTCACTTTTTCAGGTAAATTCGTATTTCAAATTAAACATAAAATAAAGACAATAAAACATAGTATAAATAGGCATTTTGTATGGTGTTGTATTGTCAAAAAAAAAATAAAATAATAAAATAAAATAAATAAATAAATAAATAAATAAAATAAAAAAAAAAATAAATAAAAATAAATAATAATAATAATAAAATGTAATTGTTCAACTTGGTAATAATTGATAAGGAGCATAGCAAGTTTTATTGAAATAAACGACAACATTACGATTTGACCAATGTCATGTAAATATGATTTTATTTTATTCAATTTTTATTTACTTGACAATTTGATATCGACAATATATATAAAATAATGATGAGGATGCAGGTATTATTTATTCATTCGTGTCGCTTACTGTTATAGAGGTCTAAGGCATAGAAACTTATCTGCTATTCGTCATGCCACACAACGAGGCTTACACCAATTACAACAGCTACACGGTGGTCACGGAAACGATCATGGGAATCAAATAAGGGCGAAAGGAGCTCCACTTACGATCCAAGGCTTCCGAAGCAATCCCAAAGATCCAGAGAGTCATATTCTTTTTTTCGACATCGAGGGCCTCATAGGTGATAATCCCAATTGGTTTTGACATATCTCTTTTTGCAGGGAAGGTTGCGAAACGAATAAGGATGACGGCGGCAAGAATAATAGAGAGAGAGAGAGAGAGAGAGACAGAGAGAGAGAGAGAGAGAGAGAGTTTTTATCTAAGGTCAGACTTTTAGTTGTTAAGTTAATATATTTTTACAAGGTCAATTTTCAATGTTGATACAGTACAACTGTTGAGTGATGAATACGGGTCTATGTCACCCGGATCATTGGAGGCACAAGGCCTTATTTCAGCTACGGAGTATCAGAAAGTCGCTGCGCTCACGCAATCGGCAAGTCCTGATGCGCATAAGAAAATTGCAGGTGAGAGCACTGAGTGAGCACTAAGAAATACGTGGTGATCCTTTCCTTGCAATTAAAGCAAGTACTAAGTCGAAATAAAAATTGAGGTAATGGCAGAATGCACAATTGCGTGCGATTTGATTTGATTCGATATGATTTGATTCGATTCGATTTGATTTGATTTGATTTGATTTGATTTGATGTGATTTGATTTGATTAATAAGGAAAATATCCAATGAAATTCATTAGCGACTGATATATACTGAAATATTTCAATGTTTTCATTAACCATTGATATTTAAGTAATCTCATTAGTTATAGAATTGAAAAATCGAACAAAAAACTGGATTATTACATTCTGTCTTTAAATATTATCATTTTTTATACCTTTAATACTTTAGCTTTGAATCGTTTATTTCATAAGTTAACAAACGATTGCAGAAATTGATTTTGTTGCGCTTTGTCTTACTTAAGAATCAATTGTAATGATTAACGAATTAAGAAAAAAAGATGTATGTAAAATAGTTGTATATTGTGATCGGCTCTTCAATGATTCATTAATATATATTTATAGACTTTTTTGGTCGTGTCAAGGATAAGGCAGGTGACATGGAGCGAATGCTAAAGGAAAAGGATCGGCATGGTACCGTGTTGTAACAATATCGTAGAATTTGTTTGTTCTTAAAACATAAAAAATCTTTTAATTTTTCCATTATGTATGTTTATTTTATTAATGAATGCTATTTTGTTAATACAATTTACATACTACCGTTTGAAATAATTGTTAATTTTATTTAATTATGTATTAATAGATAGCTATTGACTGTTCTGAAATACTATTGTTTTTAATTTAAAAATTTAATGGAAAGAATAATTTTTAAAACTTACAACATTTAATAACTTACAACATAAAATAATTTCAATTTATAATGATAGATTTATTATCTTTTTTTCTTTTCTACTTAAAAGCCAGTTTACTCTACCAGGCTATTTATAATTAAAGACAATTGATTTCAATTTCAATTATATTTTGAATTATTTGAACATCTATTGTATCATTGTAGCGTTTAAGTTTCATTATTTTTAAGTTTTAATGCTAGAACCTGCAATATAAAATTTCAAATAAGACACCAATATATATTCCAATGTATAATTATTCAAATATATTGTAAAGATAAAATTCTTTAGGTCCTGCATGTATGAATGCTGTTCATATTTTGTTTTATGATTTTCATTATTATCAGCTTATTGTGAATAACATATTAATACATTAGTTGTAAAATTGTTAAAGGAATAAATTTTCTATAGGTATAATTGCTAAGATGAAGGAAGGTGCTGAGAACGTGCAAACTAAAATTCAGGCTAAAGTGGAAAGTGTTGGTTTAAAGCCGTCGACTCTCGATGGCAAAGGTTAGAATTATTTCTGCTTTGCAAAAGTATACTAGCGATGCAAATTATTATTTGTTAAAATTTTATAACATAATGTAATAAATATGAGTATATTATGCCGCTTCATTTATTTATTATTATTACACTTCATTAAGTCTCGTATAATTAACTATTATTTAAAAAAAAAAAAAAAAAAATGATTTATTCAATTGTAAAATATTGTTGTTTGTTTTTTCTCCTTTTAATCGGTAATGAATTTTCTAAATGCAATTTTCAAATGCACACTGAATAATTGTCTTAACGCTTGATTTATTTTTAATTATTCATTGGATATATTGTAGTTATTTTTATTTTCATTTGTATAATACTTAGCAAGTGGTCTTCGTTCGACATTCGACAAAAAAAAAAAAAAAAAAAAAAAAAAATGTTTGTAGGCATATAAGGATATACTCCATCAGCAGGTTTCCTCATTTTATTTTTCAGTTGATTTCAATGGCAATAGATTCCAGATTACCCATATACATTTAGACTTCATTTCACTTTAATAATTATTTTATTAAATATTTAGATGTAATTTTTTTTACTTTAGTAATTTCCTTATTTTTATACAGTTTT